TTGGTGGTTACGGTACAATGCTCTGTTGGCTATATATAGTCTGTTTTAACTGAGTACTATTCCCTCAGTCCGAGTGTGACTGTCAATCAGCCCGTTGGCAGCTGCAAGATGACAAGTGGGCTGTGTTCACATGACACGAAACGATGAACTACTAAATGTGATTGTATTCACTGGAGATGTTGCCAGACAGGTTGCCCAGCAGCACACAACCCCACAACGGCATCGGGGACACCGGTGGATCGTCCAAGGCATCGCGATTCGCTGTGCAGAGTTAACTGACTATCCCGTTAATGCTTGTACTGGGGGCACGGGTGGCCCAGTCGTCTAAGGCGCCGCGATTCGCTGTGCAGAGTTACGTCCCTTGGGCACGCCAGAAACCTATGATTGTGGGTTCGAATCCTGGTTTTATGTTTCTAGGTTCGTCAGCACGAAACCCCTGCTCGTGGGTTTCACCGAAGTGGTAAACGTCTGAGACCTGCAACACTTCGGGCTTTCCTCTCACATTAAGCTGACACGCCGTGATATAACTGGAATAATGTTAAAAGCGGCGTTAATCCGAACGCACTCACTCACCCCCACAACGACATCGTGTGAAAAGACAACCCTATAGAGGACCTTACACTATGTTTGAATATGGTGATGCCGTCACTCACCTTGTTGGTGATTCACAATGAATATCTGTATTATTTATTATGTAACACGTTTTACGAACAGTGATAAATGTTTATGATTATATAAATATGTTAATGTATTATGTTTTATGTACAGTGACAAATGCCCAGTGTATCAATTGCATTGCACCATGATTAACAATAATATGTTTTTTATTTTTTGCATAAACACATTTTCTGATTTTATTTTTAAAAAGTTACCAATCCAAATTCACTTTTAAACAGTGTGATTACTGAACCTGTGATAAATAAGTATGGAACTGACCATACCTCATTCCCTCACTGCTTTAGGGATTATCACGGCTCACTGGCAAAGTGGGAAAACGCATTATGGCCTAAAGTGGGAGGAAAGTCCGAAGTGATGCAGGTCTTAGACGTTTACCACTTTGTTGAAGCCTACGGTACAGTCTGACAAACCTGGAAATGTAATCGGGGCGAAACGGGATTCGAACACACAATCATAGATTTCTGGCGTACCCAAAGGACGTAACTCTGCACAGTAAATCGCTAACCTGAAAAACTGGTTTTCGATTTCACTAGGCCAAATCCGTTACGAACATATAACATGACCCGTGGGACTGCGTCAATTTAATAACGTACTGTTCATGAACGAACTTGGGCGGTCGGGTAGCCTAGTGGTTAAAGCGTTCGCTCGTAACGCCGAAGACCCGGGTTCGATTCCCGACATGGGTACAATGTGTGAAGCCCATTTCTGGTGTCCCCCGCCGTGATATTGCTGGAATATTGCTAAAAGCGGCGAAAACCATACTCATGAACGAACTTTAGATACCGTTTAATAACCAGTGTATAGCGACACACGCTTGAATTCATCAAGGTATTGCTCGGGAGTTTGATTAAAAATTGTATTGCAAAATTAACAAGGTATTTCAATATTTTTACTCCATGCCATAGCTGAGCATGACAACCAGATATATGCAGTATACAAACATTGTGGGCTGTTATCCGAGTGAAACATGTGGAATGTATCTCACACTATTCAGCTGAAGGTTCATAAAGTTTTCGAACGTCATTTTAAGAAGAAATGTCGAATTAAAAATGCATTTATTTTACGTAATGTTAATAAAGAAATGTGGTGCCAGGATCAATATTGTTCAGATTAGTGGAATTTGAACATGTTTCCGATACATTTCTTCAACGGATTGAAACTGCATATATGATTGCAGCATTAAATTTATCGATGCGATGAAATCATTTAATATAGCTAACTAGCTTTACTATATCACCCTTCATAATATGATTTTTGAAGTCTCCAAAGGTTGGAATGCACTTTTTACGGAAGTAACTTGTTCAGATCTGGACAAATATGACCTGTTTACAAGTGTCTACATATTTACAAGATAAATCTACTGTATAGGTTGACAATGTTTCAAATACATTGTATCCAAGTGATGTCCCGCTTCAAATGACCCCAAGTGAGGTCTTTTGAAGATTGTAACTGCTTACTGGGCAGTTTAAATGACACGGTCATAGCTTTCTGGGGTGCCCAAGGGACGCAACTCCAGGGACGACCGCTTTATTCTACTTTAAACATTGAACCGCTTTAGTTTCTAAAATGATTGTAATAATCCCTATGCCTGGAGCGAGAATCGGGTGGTTACAAAGTACCCAGTACCCGATACCCAGAGTGACAATCGGGTGGTTACAAAGTACTCAGAACCCGATACCTTGAGTGACAACCGGGTAGTTACAAAGTACCCAGTTTCCAATACCTAGAGCGAGAATCTGGTGGTTACAACGTACCGAGTGCCCAATAACTGGAGCGACAATCAGGTGGTTTCAAAGTACCCAGTACGGCAATGCCTGGAGTGAGAATCGGGTGGTTACAAAGTACCCAATACCTGGAGCGACAGTCGGTGGTAAGAAAGGACCCAATACCCAATATCTGGAGCGAGAATCGGATGGTTACAAAATACCCAGTGCTCAATACCTGGAGCGAGAATCTGTTCCTTACAATGTACCTAGCAGCCAGTACCTGGAGCAAGAATCAAAGGTTACATAATACTCAGTACCCAATACCTGGGGCGACAATTTGGAGGTAACAAAGTACCAACTATCCAATACCTGGAGCGAGAATCGTGTGGTTACAAAGTACCAAATACCTGGAGCGAAAATCTGGAGGTAACAAAGTACCAACTATCCAATACCTGGAGCGAGAATCGGGTGGTTACAAAGTACCCAATACCTGAAGCGACAATCGGATTTCAACAAAGTACACGGTACCCGGAGCTAGAATCAGTGGGTAACAGTGTCCAATACCTGGAGCGAGAATCGGGTGGTTACAAGGTACCCTGTACCCCATACCCGGAGCGAGTATCGGATGTCGATCGGTGTCCATGCTACCAACCACTGGTCACACTGTCCCAGGTCCTGATATAGCTGGAATATTGCTTATTGCGGCGTAAAGCAACATTAACGCACTCACACGATATGGCCATGCACATTTGTGGTGCACCACATTGATGTTGATGTTGCACCACTGTTGCTAACGCTCCATCGGTCTCTTGTATCGAATTAGGTCTCTCATATCGAACCTATTCCAGTGTAGAACAAAATCCAATGTATCCCTATCGTAGTAAGGACAGACTTACCTGAGAATCGGGTGGTGATAAAGTCTACCTGGCCGTTTCTGTATTCGTACCCTTTTACCAACCACTCTATTTTCTGGCCCTGGTTTTGTTACTTACAATCATGTTAAATTGCTGACTGAGAATACCCTTTTAATGGCTTCTTCAGATAACAGTTTAACCATTTTTCAGCAAAATTTTCCGATTGTGTCGTTACATTGCAGTGTTGTTTTATAACAGAACATTGTCAGAATTAGCAGTACTTTCATGCTGATAACTTTGCAGTAAGTGTGTCTCGATATTTGGCAGTACATCAAGGCACTGTGTCAGCTATCGATATATATCGGTGTCTCGTTCTACCGTGTAAGGATGTTGTTCATCATGTACAATGTATGTTAACTTTAAGTATCATCATACCAATGAGTATTGTGGAATCGTATACCCCTAAAGGCCATACCTTTCTCTGGTAAATAGCAGCCCATGGGTTTATGTTATGTTATATAGCGGTCTATAGCTTTCAGTGATAAAGGATCCCATATAGCTTTCTGATATAGGATCCCAAGGCTTTCTGTCATATACCATCCCATATGGTTTTCTTTTATATAGCATCCCATACAGCATTGTTACATGGCTTCCCAGAGATTTGTTGAACAGCATCCCAAATAGCTTGCCGTTATATAGCTTTGTTACATATCATCCCATATACCTTTGTTATATAGCATACCATAAGTCTCTGTTATATAGCATCCCATATCGCTTTCTGTTATGTAGGTTCTATAGCTTTCTGTTATATAGCATCCCATAGCTTTCTGTTATATAGCATCCCACATAGCTTTGTTATATTGCATCCCATATATGTGTTATATAGCATCCCATGTAGCTTTCTGTTATATATGATCCATAGCTTTCTGTTATATAGCATCCCTCAAACTTTTATGATTACATTAATTAAACAAACCCAAATCTATTTTCTTTCAAAATTAATTGTAGGTGAATACAGAAATCAAAATCCCTTTATTTTCCATTTGTACACGCCATGATTATTTAGCTTAATCGGCTGGAGATTAAAAACGTATGCCATTTCAAATTTCATTAACATTTGAAGCAAACGTATTTGTTATAAATATCACAGTTGCTTGATACCATGGGACATGTCCTCTTATTATTGCTCGGGCATGGCAATACCTGAAGTTTGTATCGATATCCGCCATTATAAACAATACCTTTTCTCAAATATGATGTCATGGCACAGTCATGCATACAAACAAAGAAAATGCAGGGTTTTTATATATCAATTTATAATTCATATCTGAAGCTTGGCGTAAAGAGGTTCTAAAAGCGTTTTGTCGATAATACGCGAAACTTCTGTCTGGCTATCTTCCAAATAGAACACCCACTCGAGAAAATGACGAATCTGTGACGTCACACTGAATAATAAAATGTAACGTCATAGTACATAGTTACGTAGAGTAACGGACAGTGCTTGTTTTGTGACGTCATTCGTTTTATCGCGAGACAGGCGAGAGTTATGTCGACCATCACATTAGCCAGTTTAGATTTCCTGACTTATTCCGCATGTGTTGGCTAACTTGGGAAACGCCAGTGTTCGTGACTTCGGAAAAAATTGTTTAGAAACCAGGAGGAATCTTTTGAACCTTCAGCATCTTGGTGTTCGCAGTAAGAAAGTCGAAATTACCATACTTCGCTATGTTCAAAGGTACCTGCATCGTTTTACCACTGTGCATGCGGTTGGTTATGTTATCGTTTCACCTCCATTATTTTGAATTTGGCGCTGCAATGTAATGCGCTACCCCGCTTCAGCACTGTTCATTGCTCGGGCTTGTGTCCGGAAGTCATATCCCACAATGCCACTGTCATATATCACGCATGCGTACCGGGTCTCCAAATGTATCTGAGAGAAGACGATGAGCTCGAAAATTCCTAGAAAAGGTTCAGTATTTTCACCCAACATAAAGTTGTCTTGATGATTTCATGACTTATCAGTTAAGTAGTAACCGCATATTTCATATGTCGTTTCAGCTTTGGCCATTCAGGCGCGGAAGAAGCGCTCAAAAGCTAAACCGCGTTTTAAAAACGACGACAAGTCAAAGAGAGCCTCGTAAGTAAAACATTGGTTTATTCGCTTCTGAATCACTCGGGAAACAATCCTTCTGATTTCCTGTCAGGTTGTGGTTCCGGATATTTCTGATTCGAGTACATGTCTCTGTCTGATTTCGTGACCATTCAGGTCGATTGTTTTTGTTCCATCTTTGCTAGACATGTCGCTAATGATTCATTCTTGAACACGTGTGGATCATGCCTAGTGACAGGTCCACGCTCCATTCACAAGCGAAACGCCGTCGTTAGATTCCATTCACAGCCCCATACTTAATTAGTACTCAAGCAACTGTTTAGTTCCCTGGTCGATTCAGCCCCATTTTGAAATAAGCTTATTATTGCTGGCCACCCATGTCTGGGGATTGTTTTTGTTCTTGGCAACACAACGTGAACATCTTGTTGTCACCGTGAACAGACTGAAGTCTGTGTTTACACATCTGTTTTAATTACCAAATTGTGTGTAACGGTTGGGAAGGCCATGCTATTTCAATCAAAATAGTTGATTTACATTGCGAGATTTAATTCTTAATTGGTATTGATTTTGTGGGTTGGAGCTAAAAATGTGAAATGACACCTCACTTGCACTGAATACTACTGGAGCCATTCTTCCCACAGGACAAACTCAGGCTATATTCCATTGTAGTTGAGTGACTCTTACCACTCGTACAGTATTAATTTGGATGTGTTTCCTATGTGGTACTGTTTTGAAAATCTGGCCTTAATATCAATGTGCCTGTGGGTGTATTTTTTCTAACTGAGTTGGGGAGACAGTCATAAATATATTTGACATGGATATTGAACTTTTTGTGTGTATGGTTTGACCACATCAATCAGGTTTTAGCATGTTTAGTAGTCTGTCATACGTACCCTGAACCAAATATATCCAATACAGTCCATGCAAGTCTATAATAGTCTCTGGGTTCCTTTTTATTATATTTTAGTAAGAGAATTTAACAACTTGTTTTTTCTATAAAATATGCTCATTTCAGCTACTAGATGCATGTTAGTTTAGATTAAAAAACATTTTTTTATCAGTCGGTACAGAATCTTCCAAAAGCATTCTTGAACCTGTAACTGAATTACGCATTTAATCTACACTATGTAAATGAGGTTATTCTTGTTATGTTCACAATATCTTAGACTAAAAGATAACTCATGCTCATGATTCCCTGTTTTCATACCTAAGGTGAAACCATGGATGTCGAAGTTTACATTGCATGTACAAGTTTTGCATATTTAAAAATCAATTTTACAAGTTTTAGCTTTCTTTTTTAATCAATATGAGAAGTGTCTGGACTGTCTTTATTCAGCATGTAAATGTTATTTGTTAATTGTAAACCAACACAAGATTCCCTTTCTGATGGGATGGGTGATTATACATGATCATATGATGTACCCTGATGTGTAAGCAAGATATGGGTGTTGTCATGGAGATACTATATGTGTAAGATTGAATGGAAACAATTAAGGGCATTACTCCTGTTTTTTTTTTTGCTAAGTTGAAATTGTTTTCCGAGAACGCTTAGGAAAGTATAGGGTGTCCTTCCCATATATTATCTGATCACAGTCATATACATACATGAAAGTGATTGTCAGCTATTATGTTTTTGTCTCCCTGTTATTTCTAATTTTCGCCTACATGTGAATGTGGAGAGCTCATTACCTTTGAGGACATGAATATTATTTTGTTATTTTTATCATTTTGATCTGATAAATTCTTTGTTCAAGCAACATGGAGCAATTTTTTGTTGAGAAGAAGAGGAAAAGTAGCCTGGTTCATGACATCACATTTGGTGTTACTTTTTGACTTCTTTGAAAGGCATTTTTATGAAGCAACCTGCGCCCATGTAAAGGGATCCCTTTGGATGTAGAAATATTTTTGATGATTTACCCATATAACAGGATAGTCCACTGGTCCGAGACTAGTTGTTTGCTCCCCAAATCCAGTTATTTTGCATGAGCCACTAGTCTGAAATGAGCTGCAGACTAGTTGGATATAACCAATAGTGTCTACCTCTGTGTAATGACTTATCGCTGAGTGATTAGAAAAACATCTATGTAGACTTATGTCTTTCCCCATCTTCCTCCAAATATTATAATGATTCAAGCAGTTGTTTCCAAATTTTCATAGGAGTCAAACACAACATTCCAAGCAGCATGTGCAACATCAGCTTCTAGAAAATAAACATAAACTAGTTGTTCTGAATGGATAATAACAACCATGCTATATTGTGAATATTTTATGCTATCATTTCTGTTCTGTCTTTCAATCAGCATGATAAGTGACGTCTTTTTTTTTTTGAGTTTCATCTGCACCAAATATTAGTAATATTGCCAGAAAAGTGGTGTCCAGTTTGACAATAAAGGCAAATTGTTTTGAAAACTGGCATCTGATTGGCTCAAAAACACATGGATCTGTCATTTTGAGTGGGTGATTTGATCTCGACTGAGTATGTTTGTGAATCGGGACTAAAAGGTCTTATTTTAGTGGGATTGAAAAAAGGACAATTTCTTGTGCATACTTAAGTCCTGTAAGCGTTCTAACTTGTTTGGTCCTGTATTTTGTCAGTGCCATACCCATTGGTTTCACTGATGTTGACACATTCCCAGGTCTGTCTTTTTTTTTCCGTCACTCTTCGCTTGACGATTTAATGATTCGTACATGCTTTCTTGCATCCCATCGGACTTACAACGTAAAATATTTGTGTCCATTCTCAGTTGCCACTAGTTTGTTTCTCAAGTCTAGTAAAATGTCTTTGAGTTTAGTAAACTTTGCTAATAAGAGTCAATATATGCTATGGTATATACACATAAAGATCTTCAGGGAATGATGATGAAGAATGAAGAAGAATCAAAAGGTTTAGGAACATACTGAGACAAGTAGGAGAACTAGTGTATATATTTTGTTATATCGGGGCGGTCTGGTAGCCTAGTGGTTAAAGCGTTAGCTCATCACGCCGAAGACCCGGGTTCGATTCCCGACATGGGTACAATGTGTGAAGCCCATTTCTGGTGTCCCCCGCCGTGATATTGCTGGAATATTGCTAAAAGCGACGTAAAACCTCACTCACTCACACACTATTTTGTTATATCAAATCGACTGGATACCACAGGGATATATATAGTCTTACCCAGGGACCGATGTACAGCACCAAGTGTGCAGCAAATATCAGTAAAAATTCCCAAATTTGAATTAAAACCTTCCCAGTTGATATTGTTGTGTGACTAATGTTATGGCTTTTGGAGGTGACTTGTAAACAACTCTTCTGAATTTTTTTTTTTTCAAGGGCACTAAATTTGGAATGCCATAAATATCTTAACCGTGGACAATGATACCGTGAAGATCAAGGTTAGAATAGGTCTTCAGCAACCCATTCTTATCGTAGGAAGCGACTTGTGAGATCGGTGGTCAGTCTCGTTGACTTCGCTGATACATGTCGTCTTGTGCTGGAATACTGCTGAGTGCGGCATTAAACAAAAAAGAGAAGAAACAAAGACAATGATAACCAAAGTTGTTTATTTCACATTTTGTCAAAGTATTTTATGCAAGGTGATAAGTTGAATCATATGTTATTTGCATGGGTTGATGCTCATTTAGCTCCAGGGTGGAACAGGTTTTCAGCAACCCATGCTTGTTGTAAGAAGCGACTAATGGGATCGGGTGGTCAGACTCACTGTCTTGGTTGATGCATGTCATCATATCCCCATTGTGTAGATCGATGCACATGGTGTCAATCCCTTGATTGTCTGGTCCGGATTATTTACAGACTGCCGTCATATAGCTGGACTATTACTGAGTGCGGTGTTAAACAATAAACAAACAAAGAAATTCAAGACTCTGGCTTCGGACAAGTGGTTAAGATCAAGGATGGTGAACCTGCTCAATGAGTCTACATGTGTTTGTTATGGTTATCTTTGGTAAACAATACCAATTTCAGAAATGATGTTTTTATTGTAGACAACAGATCTTGTGGAAACAGATTTACAGAAGTGATGTTTTGGGGGGATATATTATCATGTTTTGGAATTGTCCCTTTTTATATTCATCAGACTATTTGTAAAATATTGGATGTTTCATCTTAAGCAGGGGCGGTCAGGTAGTCCAGTGGTTAAAGATTCGCTCGTCAGGCCTAAGACCTGGGTTCGATTCCCTACATGGGTACAATGTGTGAAGCCCATTTCTGGTGTCCCCCGCCGTGATATTGCTGGAATATTGCTAAAAGCGGCGTAAAATCCAAGTCACTCACTCATCTTAAGCATGCCTACTATTTGCAAAATGGCTTAATGTTGAGTATGGTTTTTGGTGGTGAGGAGCGGTGTTGTTGCCAGGGGATTAATGCGTTAGCTCGCCACGCCGAAGACCCAGGTTCGATTCCCCCAGCCCATTTCTGTTGTCCCCCGCAGTGATATTGCTGGAATATTGATAAAAGCAGAGTAAAGCCATATTCACTCACTATTGGTGATGATGGGGTAGCCGGGTGGTTTGAAAGCTTCACAAGACACAGGGTTTGAACCCCCTCGTGGGAAGTGTATGGAAACCTTTTTTGGTGTCATTACTATAACACTGCAGGAATATTGACAAGTTGTGTGAAACCTTACTGACCGAACATTAACTGAGACCTCATTTGTAGTTACATTACTACGACTTTAAACAAAGTATGGACCCCCTGCTCACTTGTTTGTAGTTTGAAGTGATGCTTAGTTTGTTAGATTTGCCCGGTATGATGCCTGTGATGCTAGTATGTGAACCTAACATTGTGTTGATATAAGGAAATTGTACAGAATATTCAAGTGGTTGTCCTGTCAAAAGTAGTTTAAGGAAATGATGCTGTTTAGTCTTTGATCATGTTGATAAACAAAATGAACAGGAGTGAAACCAACTACAGCTTTCGGACATTATTTTCTATGTCATTGATGCTAAATCTGACTGTACTTTATTATGAAATATTGGAACAAATGAAGTTGCTCTATTGTATCTTGTTAATTTATTTAATATTTCTT